ACCAAGGTATTAACACGAACTTTCAAACGACACAGTTACTTATGTTATTCAATAGTTCGGCTTCAAATAATAATTGCTTCCTAGTATTTGCGTATTGATATTCAGCAGAAAAATATACACTCCTGTCCGCTCATTTGTTCTGCATTGGCATAAAGTGGCGACCAACAAATGAAAATTCTAGCCCGTGAGAGTACTCAGATAAAAATCATTAGGATACAAGTGACGCTAATAAGTGGTAAGACATCATCACTTTTCTGAACACTTCATTTAATATAGGAAAAAAACCTTTCAGGACAGTCCAGGGAGAATCGATCCACTTTTTCTCTGGATATGACATAGTCTTCGGTATCATGACGTTACATGCATCAACAGTCTAATCGTATTCTCGCCTATACTGTCAAGAGCCAATCAAATGGACGGTTTCCTAAACCTTTCTCTACGTCTGAGAATTTTTCAACCACGTTTTTATATTTGGAGACAGTCGACAGTTCTAAACAGGTTAATCAAGGAATAAATGGCGACTTCAGGGATGTTATGATACTTCTGAACCTAAACTATGATTTACCATAGTTATTGAGACCCTGTCATTGAACGTATAGTCAAACAGAAGAAACAACCAATCTATCAAGTGTGTCAACGTCCCTTGGTATCGGAGGCTGGTTACTGTAGGGTTGTTGATAAAATAATGGACTGTGACCAAATGTAATTCTGACGCTGGTTAACGTATATGCTGGGTGATTTATCGCGGCTTGCCAAAGCCAACGATGACCTGTGAGGACTAAGAAATAACACCGAAAACAAGCCATATCCCTCTTCAAGTTGAATGCACTCCGACATTAGGGCAATGACTATTGAATGTTGAGAGTTTGATGAACAGAGGAAAATTACGAAAAGACGAAAAGAAATGAACCCACGGAGTGTATAACACAGCGCCTCAGGGATGGCCGTATCACTTACACCGTTATCTTAAATAAACCATTTAGCCGTTAAGATATTGTTCATTATTCGAAACATCTTAAGAATCAGGGTGGTACGTCAGGACAAAAGATTGTGCAACGTTTGTGTAAGATTACATAGGTTGGACGGTCACATCATGTTTAGTAAACTAAACTAGACGAAGACTATTAATTTTGTAGCACTAGTAAAACCGTCAGAATTATCGTGGTTCTAAATTTAGCAGGACAACAGTGATAAATTGCATAAGTCAGCCGGCCAGTGTGAACTGTCTCAATAATATTTCAATACTACTTCGACATCATTAAAGCACTCCCAAGCAAGTCAGTATTAATTCTTCAAACCGAGAGCAGAAAAGAGTGGTAACCAGGCCACGTGTGGTTTCGTGAGCAAGTCAACTCAACAAAGTGAAAGGTGAACAGTAATGAAGGATTAAGGTCTACGACTGTAATACTGCACTTATATATGCTACCAAAATAAAAGATAAAATCCATTATTGTGGACTTTCCATGGTTTAACTACCTGATCTTGCTTGAAAGCGTCACCACCGTCCTATCGTGACAGTCGCTAAGGTATTTTTATGAACCACCACAAAATGCATTCGAAGTAATTACAAAATAATTTTTTGATGTAAAGTCTAAGTGCTTATATAATATGACCACGCCTGCGTGGCCGAACCATAAAATCTCGGTTGCATGTTTCCCCATCGAAATGTTTCCAAACTTCATCCAGTACTCAACGTTTATTGTAAGCCACCTCAGTCTTAGTGTGCTCAACTCTAAGGTCATTTGATAAGAAACCAACGTCAATGCAACAATCTTACACTAGAATCGACCTGAAATTGATTCGATTCAAGACCAGGTGGAATCATCGCATGCCAAATGTTGCCTATAGTCCTATAATAATTCTCCGGGTATAGATAAAATGGAGGGCAACTCAAAAATGGTGACAGCAACTGATCGTGAAATACATATATCAGATCTAAGGAATTTTGTTTTATCCTTGTGTTAATTCTATCAGAGCGTCCAAGTAACCCCGATTGAGATACGCGCAAAATCGAAGTTCCCAAACAACGATTTGTTTACAAAAGCGGTTCTTTATTAAATAATACACAAAATTTAGTTACAAACCTCAACTTGTGAGGTGTCTAGGCGTTTAAACGCGTCGCTCAAGAATGAAAATAACAAAGGCTTCCTGTAAGAGTAACATAAAGAATGATTACAACATACGATAGTCCAAAGACAGCCGATAGCTGTGTCTAAATTTGATAACAGTTTATGAACAACCGAAACTCGAACCAAGAGCAAACAATATGGAAACTGTTGCATTCAAACAAATGCATAAAACTGTGGATAACCGTTACAGTAATTAAATTAAAGTGATTATAATGATAAATACAATGATAAGTAAAATAAACGTTAAAGATATATGTGAACATTCCAGAATGTTACAGTACAACTTGAATTACAACGTAAGTTTGAAAATTGTTGGGCATACAGCTGTCTACTGAATGTAAATAAGTAGTATAAAACAACATACAAAAGAGTAGAAAAGGAACATGTAGGGACAATGTAGGACAAACTTAACACCTTGATTCATGCAGAAGGAATATTTGGGCACAGTTTATATGACGGTTAGAAGGGTTTGTTTACTTACTGACTTACTTACTTACTCCCGTTACTCCTCATGAAGGGGTAAAGGCCGCCCACCAGCACTCTACATCAAAACCTGTACTGGACAAGCCTTTCCTACTCTTTCCAGGTGTTATTCGTATTTTTCACATCTACTTTTATTTCCCGACGTAATGTGTTCTTTGGCCTTCCTCTTTTCCGCTTCCCATCAGGATTTCAAGTTAGTGCTTGCCTCGTGATGCAGTTTGATGATTTGCGTAATGTATGTCGTATTCATTTCCTTCGTCTTTTTCTACTTTCGTCTTCAGCTGGAAGTTGGTTTGTTCTCTCCTAGAGAAGGCTGTTGCTGATGGTATCCGGCCAATGGATGTTGAATATCTTGCTCAGACAACTATTTATAAATACTTGTATCTTCTTGATGATGTTAAGATAATTCTTCAAGTTTTCGCTCCGTGCAGTAGAGATGTCTTGGCTTACGTATTGATATTGATCGAAAGTCTTTTTCGTTAGACACCAACCCATTAGGACTGACCAGACTTCCTAAATAACTGAAGTTGCAACCGGATTTGCGTAAACTGTGTCCAAACCACCTCTGGTCATTGGATGTGGAATATCTTTTATAGACAGCTGTTTATAAATACCTGTACTTTTTTGATGATGCTTGTGGTGGTTCTTTTCATTTCTGTACAGTGGAACTGTCTTAATGTTTATATGGAAGATTCTGACTTTGATGTTGCCTGATAATTGATCTGGGTTCTGTATGTTCTTCAGTTATAGGAATTCTACCCTTGCCTTTGTATCCTCATCGGATCCTCATTTTTCGTCGATGGTGCTTCCTAGTATGTGAAAGTTCCCAACTCTTCCAGATCTCCATCGAGTGTGATTGAGTTGGTGTTCTCTATGTTATATTTGAGGATCTTGGTTTTTCCTTGTGTGTGTTGAGGTCCACTGATGCTACGCTGACTGTTTTGACCTGCATTTGTTGATGTGTATGGAACAGGAGAGCTAGGTCATCTGTGAAGTCTAAATCGTCTAGGTGCATCCAGGCTGTTTATTGTATCCCGTGCTTCCTCTGAGAAGCATAGGTCTTCATAGTCCAGACAACCACCAGAAGGAAGAGGAAGGTGGGGTGTAGACAGCTTTGTCTGACACCGGTCATTACTTGGAATGCATCTCTCAGCTGTCCTCTATGCACGACTTTGCAGTGTAGTCCATGGCATGAATTACGGATAATGTGAACGATTTTCTCAAGTACACCGTAGCGTCAAGGTTTCATAACGTTCTCCTATTCATGATGTCAAATGCTTTTTCATAATCTAGGAAATTGATGTATAGTGACGAGTTCCATTTAACTGATTGTTCTACAATGATCCGATATCTACTATCTGCTTTATTTGTGCTCCTTTAATGTTCTTACCGTTAATTTCAACTTAGGAGAATGTACTTTGACACTTTATAATCATCCATGTTTGTGCCTGGTTCTGAGTTTGTTTTGACTGGCTGAATCTGAACTATGATTACTGAACTAATGTGTCTTATTTACATATCCGTGTCAGTTGCATCCTCGTAAAGCTTAAGAACTGCCCTAATTGTCTACCAGAAAAATTAGTATTTTCACTTTCTGTTGATACATTTAAAATAGTTTGATCTTTGAAAGTATTATAAGTTATGAGGCCTAATATAATGTGCCTGTTGTACCTTCTTATTACTGACTTTCTACCTATTTAAATGTCATCCAAAAGCAAGCACTAGGTTTAGGATTCTACTGATATTCGTTGCTTGACATTTTTGTGGTCTGTAATTCCTTTTTATTCGAGGATCTAAAATACAGTCTGACCGATATTTGGGGATGATGGGGTTTTAGGATGTAGTTAGATTATAGCCGGTGTGTCTAGGAGTATATAATCTTACCCGACTAGTTGTTGTTGGAAACGCACAGCACGTCATACCCAAACGTGATCTGGTGCAAATGAGTGACTAAGGATATATAACTAATGGCATGTCCAGTGAAGCTGACGAGGTCAACGTTAATATTGAGAACTTATGGAACCACTTATTTTGGAGATTTATTTACCGCTACAGGAGTAATATCCAGAAATGAGATACATGTCAAACTATAGGGTAGGCGCACCCTTCACGCTTTACGAGAGGAAAAGCTTTGAAATTGTTTGTAAACTAAGCAGTATCGGGAAAGTTCTCAGGAGTTCTTCAAGAGGAAGCTTGATTTATTAGGGAATTGAGACAATATTTCATACAAATTTATCAATATTTACGCTTGGTTTATTTAATGTATTTAAGTCTTTGCTTGGAAGTAATGATGGTCCAGTGCTACTGAACATGTGAATCTATTAGGCGAAAGTTTCCTCTAATTTGCTAAAAACCTTCCGAGTCATCCGAATTCCAGGCATTGTACATTGTGCACCGCCTGTTTTAACTTGTTGCGCCTCTTCGATATGATTTGTCCTGGTTCTGTAAAGTCATCAGTCATTTAGGTCCTTAATATATGGATAATTCGGAAGAGGTAACATATTTTAAATGGAATAATTTCACGCTTCAGGATCCCGATCTTTTAAACGAAGAGACATTCGACTGTGCAGAGATAGGTTTGGGTCATTCTTATTATTATAACTTTCAGGTGACTGGGAGAACGAACATGATCAATTTGTGCAGAATTTTCATAAAGTTTCCGAGGAATCTCCAACTGCTGATGAACTACCAAAGTTCTGGAATGACACTGGTGGTCTTTCGTTCTTATGGCAAACGAATGACCTCGGTTGTGGTGTGACTGTGGATGATGGGGGCGAAAAAGTAAGTGAACAGATGACAGTTATATTTTCTGAAGGTTGTCGATGTTGAGGAAACAATTCAAAAGCTAGTATTAGATGAGACCTTTGAGGATCCTGCTATCCTAGATATATCCAGGAAGGTTTCTTACCAACAGCTCAACGAAGACTCATTTCAGCATCTGAGAAACACACCTGCATATCCGACTGCTCCTACTGACATACTTGATAGGACTCGTGATATCTGGAGCATTGATGGTAGTTATGAGGTTGGATATGGAAGTGGCAAGATCAGCACAGCGTCCGATTGTAATATGAAGTCGAAAAACGTAATCGATATACTCCGATCATTAAATGTTTACCCTCCACCATCTGTCAAGACTGTATCTATACCACCAGAAGCTTCTACAGAAAATTACTTGTCACGTAAGGTAGCTACAGAATCTCAAACAAGGGAAGTCGGTACTGAATTATTCCCCAAAGCTTCTCAATCTTCAAGAAACCTCCAAAATATTGTACCAGTTAGTCAGCATAAATTGTATCCTAGCCCTGTGTTTTCTTCTGGGAATCGCTTCTGCCAGTCACAAGCAGTTCAAAATTCTCTATCTGTCCATGTGAGTGTTTTTCATACATTTGGGATTATGAATTTCTCCTTTCATTTATTGGGATTCTTATTATTTCTACAGGTTGTTAGTAATTTTACTTTGCTATTTCAAACCTCATAAATTTTAAAACCTCAGAATTTTCTTTGTATTCAAATGTTTCATTATTTAACTACCGTTTGAATTAACTAGCATTTTTTAAAAGCAAATACTCAACTTCAATAAATCCAAACTAAATCTATAAAGTAGGCAGTTGTAGTAGTGGTATTTAGTTCGACTTGTTTTTGTCACCTTATAAGGGAGCACTCGCACTACTCAAATTATTTATTTCCAAGAGCGAAATAACAGTAGTAGATGTATGTAACTAAACACACGTATTACTACTTATAACTCGTTTTATGCTTATCATCGGCCATTAACAATATATTGCGACGTCCCATTACTTTGAGTTTTAATTTCTCTGCCTATAAAATAAATTCAAGGGATTTCATTGGTGGTTGTACTGGCATACTTCATTTGATGTGTATTTCTTGATGTATTTCCACTTAAGCCAGTATAAACATAATTTAGATAGAAATTCATACAATATTAATTCGTGTTTCTTCACGAAGTCTTATATTTGACTCAACTTGTGGTCAGGGGTACTGAACATGCGATCAGTATACCATCTGAGCGGTACTTAACCGACGGGTATTGACATATACTCGATTTTGTAAACATTAGGAATAAGTTCTGGATAGTTCTTTACTCGATATTAAGTCTAATAGAGTCTTTATATCCATTTTAGTTAGCATATTCCAAGCTTTATTATTTATTTATTTATTTTAACACATAGATATTGGCACAAGGAGGCACTAAATACATATGCGCCACACAAATCTCATTCGATATGTGTGAGGGCCATGTGAGAGTATTTCGAGAGGGAGAGCGGACTCTTCCCACTCTCGGCCGTACCAGGGCATTTGGGGGCCCAAGCTTGCAGAGTGTATCAATAGAGTCACTCACTTTACTGAGCAAACCTGTAAGAAAAGCTAAGATTTCCATTCAAGTCTTCCAATCGGACTACATTGACCTAGCTTGTGTCTCTTAGGATCTGACCAAAGTGCAACTGAATTTCATATCTAATTCACTACCCCTGAAGTACGATTAAAAATTGTTATCTTTGGTGGCGTGATAAAATCTAAGTTTTGAATGTGCAGGTTATCAATCATTTCCACAGGCACCATACATTAAATCTCTAAGGAAAATTAAACTTTGTTATGTAAAATACCCACCTAAAGCACGTGTTATAAGTGATTGTTCACTCGTAATGTCCGTTAATTAAAGGTGGAAATACACCAAGATAAAAGTTGGAAAATACCAGTCAAATACTAGCATTCTTTCAGTCCCAACGTTTTCTCGCAGTTTGGTGAAAGCTTAGAATTTAAATGTTCTTATAAGAGACTGGTATTCTAGTAGGATTAATCAACTGAAAACTGATTATGATCATACTATTCGAGTTATCCCGTAGAAAGTTGTTGATTCTCGTCAAATGAGAAATGTTTAACGACAGCCTTACTTACTTACGCCTGTTACTCCGATTTGAGCATAGGCCGCTGACTGGCATTCTCCAATCCACTCTGTCCTGGGCCTTCCTTTCTAGCTCTATCCAATTGTTATTCATTCTTATGTCTGTATTCATTTCTCGGCGTAATGTGTTCTTTGATCTTCCTCTTTTGCTTTGGCCTTGAGGATTCTAGGTGGGGGCTTTCCTTGTGACGCATTTGGGTGCTTTCTCAATGTGTGTCCTATCCACCTTCTTCCTCCGTTGGAATCTGGTCTGTTCTCTCCCACAGTAGGTTGTTGCTGGTAGTGTCTGCTCAACGGATCCGAAGTATTGCTTAAACAACTGTTAATAAACGCTTGTATCTTCTGGATGATGGCTTTCGTACTTCTCCAAGTTTCCGCCCCATAGAGTAGAACTGTCCTGATATTTGTATCGAAAATTCTGACTTTGGTGTTGGTTGACAGTTGTTTTGAGTTCCAGATGTTCTTTATTTGTAGACATGCTGCTCTTGCTTTGCCTATCCGCGCCTTCACATATACATCAGATCCGCCGTGTTCATCAATGATGTCGCCCAGATATGTAAAGGTTTTTACATCTTCCAAATCTCCATCAAGTGTGATTCGATTGTTGCATGCTGTGTTGTATCGGAGAATCTTGCTTTTCCCTTTGTGTATGTTATGACCTGCTGCTGCTGAGGCTGCTGCTACACTGGTCGTCGTCTGCATTTGTTGTTGCGTATGCGATGGGAAAGCCAGATCATCTGCGAAGTTTAGATCGTCCAGCTGCATCCTAGATGTCCACTGTATCCCATGCCTCTTCCCAGATGTTGACGTCTTTATGATCCAGTCAGTCACCAGGAGAAAGAGAGAGTGAGAGTAAGCAACCTTGCCTTACACCGGTCTTTACCTCGAACGAGTCTGTGACCTGTCCTCCATGCACTATTTTGCAGTGTAATCCATCATAGGAATACCGTATTATGTTGACTGTCTTCTCAGGTACGCCGTAGTGTCGAAGAAGCTTCCATAGTGTTCTCCTATCCACCCTATCAAATGCCTTTTCGTAGTCAATGAAGTTGATGTAGAGTGATGAATTCCATTCAATTGATTGTTCCACAATGATCCGTAGAGTTGCGATTTGGTCTGTACACGATCTATCCTTACAGAATCATGCCTGTTGGTCACTTATTCACTCCCTTTTATTCCCACTTTGTGTATCCTTATTTTTCGACTTATACAGCAGCTTGCCTATGATGGAAACTCGGTTCTATCTAAACGTTCTCGAGTCACTGCCTGGTTGAAAATTATATGCTACCACCAAATACGAATACTGAAGCAGTTCTTCTGAAACTACGTGCACCATTCAAACTGGCTGCCTTCAACGTTCGCACACTTATGCAGGTCGGACAACAGATAGGAAAGTTTCGATAATGATATTAGAAGACGAAGATTATCGAAATTTATCAAAGGGACTAATTGTTTTAAAGATAGGAAAGTCTTAATATCGACGTTTGTTGTCTATCCGAGACCCGTATTCAAGACTCTGGTGAAGTACTACAAATTTGCTCTCCATCTGTCGTTTCGAAAAGCTTGTTTTAAATGTGTTTATCCGGGGACCCTGTGGCATCTTCGCCTGGTCTTGCTGGCGTTGGTGTCGCACTAAGCGCTAGAGCTGAGACAGCACTAATCGATTGGATCCCCATTAACAGTCGGCTATGTGCTGTTAGATTAGAGAATTCCATCAAAGTGAGAAGAAATCGGTGTGAGAAACGATATCTTTTCGTCATCTCCGCCTATGTCCCAACAGATTGCAGCCCGGATGCAATCAAGGATAAATTCTACCACCAGTTAACTGATCTTCTCCAGAAAGTGCGTTCTACAGATATTGTAGTACTAGCCGGAGACTTGAATGCTCAGATCGGGCATCTAGGCATGAGATCAATGCATGTATAGTGAAAGCCAGAGCGGCTTATGCCAATCTGGGCCATCTTTGGCGCCTTCATGATGTCAGTCTGGCTGTAAAACGTCGGATCTACAACGCGTCGGTGAGAGCAGTTCTGCTCTATGCTTGTGAAACCTGGCCTCTCCGAGTTGAGGATGTTAGACGACTCTCTGTGCTTGGTCATCGCTGTCTCCGAAGGATTGTTGACATCCAGTGGCAACACCATGTTAGTAATGCAGAGGTTCGGCATCGTGTGTTCGGGTGCAGAGACGATAATTCAATTGGTGTCGCCATCTTGAAACATCGACTTCGGTGGCTTGGACATGTTCTACGAATGTCGTCCCAGAGAATTCCATGTCGTGCATTATTTGTCGACGCTGAGACTGGTTGGAAAAAGCGGAGAGGTCGTCAGTGTATGACATGGTGTCGTGGTATGAAAGAAATCTGCAAAGGGCTGGCTTCTGTTGGTCCTTCACGACTCCCTAGCTGGATTCCGAGAGATGGTGCGACACAGTGGCTAGAGACGTTATCGGATATGGCTCAGAATAGAAGCCAGTGGCGATCCTGCTGTAACCTTCTTTTACTTTCTTCATAAAAAGTGGTTGTGTCTTCCTTAACTGAAAGATTTCTTCTGGTTGTACCTTTCCGCTTACCCCATTATTATTATTATTATTATTATTATTATTATTATTATTATTATTATTATTATTATATGTGCCTGGTCCTACGTTGTGGCTGACTGACTGACTGATTAGTATTGTTATTATTACACTACCTTACACTAATCTGGTCGTTATTGTTCTTCTTTTTTTTCTTTTACGCTCCTCACCTTTCTTTTTTCTCTTCCCATTCTCATTGTTTTGTGTGGCGCATGTATATTTGGTGCCCCCTTGTACCAATATTTTTTTGTTTTCCAATTAATAAAGTAACTCGTCGTGGAGGGGCATAGGCCGCCCACCAACACTCTACATCCAACCCTGTACTGGACAAGCCTTTCCTACTCTTTCCAGGTGTTATTCGTATTTTTCACATCTACTTTTATTTCCCGACGTAATGTGTTCTTTGGCCTTCCTCTTTTCCGCTTCCCATCAGGATTTCAAGTTAGTGCTTTCCTCGTGATGCAGTTTGATGATTTGCGTAATGTATGTCGTATTCATTTCCTTCGTCTTTTTCTACTTTCGTCTTCAGCTGGAAGTTGGTTTGTTCTCTCCTAGAGAAGGCTGTTGCTGATGGTATCCGGCCAATGGATGTTGAGTATCTTACATAGGCAATTATTTGTGCTCTAAATGTAGCGACCGATTACACTGACACATAATGGGCAGGTCTGTTTTCAGACCGGTATTGCGTCAACAGATTTACCGGGGTAATATTCGGCACTTTAGGCTATCACACTGTACAAATGTAGTCATTACAGTTTGTACATAATATTGAGGGAGTTAGTTTGTTGTGTTACACGATTTTTATCTTCATTAATCTTCGTGCCTAACCATAGTGTGTTGGTTTAGTGAACAAATCATTTCATTTAGATTTTGTACTCATGGTAACTGCTAAAATTCCTAGATATCTGAACTGATAATCTTTTTCATTACTGTTGTTGATATAAAAATCCACTCTTTTTGTTATAGCAGAATGGAATACATACCAATCATTTACGCGCTAACCCCTTTTCATTGGATATTTTGAAGGGACAGTTTCCCACTGATGCCAGTGTTTTCCCCACGTTACCGGCAATGCAGTCTGTATTTAAAAATTTACATCCCTCAAAGTTGGATTACTCACAAATTCATGGGTAAGTATTATTTTGACTGAATATTCATATTTCATTTAGTCGTCGAATTTATGTTGTTAATGTATACAACTGCTATATTTCAAGAGTTGACCAGTAGAGTGGTGTCGTCTGCTGATATACATGAGATATGACTCAGTTTACTGTGGTCAACTTCACTAAATTACTACGTCAGAGACACTAAATGAAAAATTTGCACGATGTAGGCGCGGACTTTAAGATCAGTCACGAAAATACGTTTGACATAAAACTTGTAGAGTATCACATTACGTAGAGGTATGTATTTGCACTCGTTTGTTGGAAAGAAGTCAGTTGATATTATCCACTCAATTTGTTTCTAGTTTCCCTGTAGTTGCGAAGTTTATAACTCAAACAGTTTCCGTACCCATGTAATATATAAATTAGCTCGTCTACCAGGTATTTGGGTATGAGTTACACTCTAAGCGTGAGGTAATGATGTTATTCGGTTGCTCAAACCAAAGTGGGTAAATGGGGATTTATTAAGACGGAAACAGATATATAATTCAGTAGTGAATTGTGCTTCTTAGTCGTCAGTCGATTTATGATTTTATAAATTATATGCACACACTAGATTATTGATTAGTTGCTAGTTAGTTCATTTGAATTTATCAAGTCATTATAGGGTCCGAACTTGGGACTGAGTGGTACCGATAATATCATCTTTCGCCGTTCTTTCTCTATAGCAGAGAAAATAAGTAAACTAAACTCAATTCGAAACCTGTTGAATGGGAGATCTGTGATAGACTGACAGAAAGTGAATAACCAGTTTAAATGCACAATCGATAAGGAGAAAATTGAAATTACTTAGTAATAAATAAAAATATTCAACTATTTAATTCACCAGGTACCTGGATATCAACCCTACTCTAAGTGTGACGGCTAGTGATACTACTCGATCGTCCAAACCGAAGTAGAGTGGGGTTCAAACCAGGGGATCTGTTGGTTTAAAACTATTCATCTGAACACAAACATTAGTACTAAGAGCTGCCTTCTCACAAGGAAGGAAGGGGTTAGAAAAGGTCGTTCCTAACAACGTCACACCCCACCTTACCTCACGGATTTCCGTCTCCGGCGGTAAGGCCTTTTGAAGAACGGAGCTAACACGTTAAAAACTTGCCACAAAAAGGCCGTGCGCGACCGGCCTCGAGCAGTTGTCCTTTGGGCTCTGCAGTCACACTCCCAGGTCGTTGAGACCAACACTAATCCGACTTCTTTTTCAGGTAGATTATTTATTTATTTATTTGAACCCAAGAAAATATGAGTACAAGGGGGCACCAAATATACATGCGCCACACAAAACAATGAGAATGAGAAGAGAAAAAAGAAAGGTGAGGAGCGTAAAAGAAAAAAAGAAGAACAATAACGACCAGAATAGTTTAAGGTAGTGTGATAATAATAATAACAATGGGGTAAGCGGAAAGGTACAACCAGAAGAAATCTTTCAGTTAAGGAAGACACAACCACTTTTTATGAAGAAAGTAAAAGAAGGTTACAGCAGGATCGCCACTGGCTTCTATTCTGAGCCATATCTGATAACGTCTCTAGCCACTGTGTCGCACCATCTCTCGGAATCCAGCTAGGGAGTCGTGAAGGACCAACAGAAGCCAGCCCTTTGCAGATTTCTTTCATACCACGACACCATGTCATACACTGACGACCTCTCCGCTTTTTCCAACCAGTCTCAGCGTCGACAAATAATGCACGACATGGAATTCTCTGGGACGACATTCGTAGAACATGTCCAAGCCACCGAAGTCGATGTTTCAAGATGGCGACACCAATTGAATTATCGTCTCTGCACCCGAACACACGATGCCGAACCTCTGCATTACTAACATGGTGTTGCCACTGGATGTCAACAATCCTTCGGAGACAGCGATGACCAAGCACAGAGAGTCGTCTAACATCCTCAACTCGGAGAGGCCAGGTTTCACAAGCATAGAGCAGAACTGCTCTCACCGACGCGTTGTAGATCCGACGTTTTACAGCCAGACTGACATCATGAAGGCGCCAAAGATGGCCCAGATTGGCATAAGCCGCTCTGGCTTTCAGTCAGTCAGTCAGTCAGTAACAACGTCGAACTTCGTTCGTACGTACGTACATCAGTTCGAGTTGCCACACCACATTAGTACACAGATACAGTTGTCAATCCAAACCCCGTAGTGGTAGAGGTAATAAGAGTATAATCAGTAATCAGGAAAATTAGTGTTTGGAGGTGTTATTTAAAGAGTATAATACAGTGAAATAAATTTGGGAAGAGAAAAAAAAGAGACAAGGAGGAATAAGGAGATCAAAATTTGTGAGAACACAAAGATTGTATGCACCTGCGCTATTGCAAACGATTTTGAGCCATGTTATTCAGGATCTCTAACCACCGGTTGCTATCATCTCGCGGTCCCCAACCAGGTAGTCTACACCTACCAACATGACTCAGTCCACTTGTCAGTGACTTCATGGACTTGTGCATGTTTTGGTTTGGCCGCCCCTAGCTTTCTTCCAACCTACTCCTATACCACTGAACATCGCACGTCCAGGCAGTCGGTTGTTGGGCATACGTAACACGTGTCCCAGCCATCTCAACTGATGAAGTTTCACTACGTCATCAATTGATTTGCCATCTTTACCTAGTACCCGTTTCCTAACAACTGTGTTACTTACTCGATGGTCCCATGATATACGAGCAATGTTTCGAAGACACCTATGATCAAATACTAGTAGCCTACGGATATCCTCTACTCTTACCGGTCATGTTTCACTGCCATAAAGTAGGACGGAACGAACTGCTGCACAGTAAACCCGTCCTTTGGTTGATAGATGGATATCTCGCCTACGCCATAAATGACGCAAGTTGGTAAAAGCTAGTCGAGCCTTCCGTGTCCGTGCTGAGATTTCGTCACACACCAGACCACAGGGGCTGATGAGACTTCCAAGATAAGTGAAGCGATCGACACGCTCAATTACTTCACTCCCTATCATTAGTTCGGGCGTCAATGCAACCCAATCCTGAAGCAATATTTTACATTTCGAGGGGGAGAATCGCATCCCGAACATGCTTGCATTGTTGCTTAGAGTGGTCAGAAGACTCTGCATTTTGTCAGCGTCTTCACCAAATAAAACTATGTCATCAGCATATTCTAAGTCAACAAGTGAACCTGCCGGCGGAAGTTCAACCCTTGGAAATTTAGACGAGGAAAGTGTTATCTCTAAAAGTACGTCGACGACAAACTTGAACAAGAATGGAGAGAGTCGGCAGCCCTGACGAACACCACTTGAGGTGATCAATTCTGATGACAGTTCGCCATAAGCTCTCACTCTACCAGTTGTGTTCGAGTAGTGAGCCTCTATAAGGTTAATTCACTTCTTTGGTACTCCTTTCAGTGACAAACACTGCCATAGAACCTTACGATCGACAGAGTCGAATGCTGCTTTAAGGTCGAGAAATACTACGATTGTGGGGCGTCTGAACGTGTGTCTGTGTTCTAGAACCTGACGTAGTGTGAATATGTGGTCTATACAACCACGTCCAGATCGCAAACCAGCCTGATTTTCTCTAGTCTGCTCTTCACGAGCTTTAGTTAGGCGTCGAAGTATTATTGAAGCTAATATTTTAGACATTACATTAGTCAAACTGATTCCTCTGTGATTGTCACAAGAGGACTCTTGTCCTTTCTTAAAAACTGGCACAATCAGTGATTGAGACCAGTCAGATGGGATTAGCGTTCAGTTCACAGATACTACCTATGGCCTCAGTCAATCTCACTGCTAATGCTGGACCACCATCCTTAAAAATCTCAGACATAAACCTGTCAAGGCCTGCTGCTATCCCACGCTTCAGATTTCCTATAGCTTTTCCAACTTTGCAAAGAATTGGAGGACATACATCAACTTGCCATTCAGGTCGACTGGAGATCGTGGGAAATCGAAGTGCATTTGAAGGCCAGTTGAACTGATCCCTAAAGTGTTCTGCCCATCGATCCAATCTCCTGGATTGAGAATGAATAATATGTCCATATTCTTCCGATATAGCTTTGCTGACAGTTCGATTCCTAATACCGGTTTCCTTAACAAGTCTGAACAGTTGTCTGCTGTTACATAGTGCCGCTGCCTTTTCCATCTCTTGCTTTCGCTTCCCATCGCTGTTCACAATCATTGTGTAGGCTTCTTATCAGCATGCGCTTAAGCTGACTCCGCTCTTCGTTATGTTCAGAGCCAGATGGGATAAGTTTTCGAGCACCTATCAGTGCGATAGATGCTGCTGAGACCCAGTGTTTCTCCCTAACCTTATGGTTTACCTTACTAGCAGATATCACTGCTGTTTCCACAGCTTTTCGGATATCATTGTACGCTGCTTCGGGGTGGGCATCACTTACATGGCTGCCTAACTGTTTTTTTCTAGTTGTTCCTGAAATATATTCTTAGCTTGGCTATCATTAAGTAGGACCCTAAGAGGTTTGCTTGCAGCGTCTTTCCTACGCCCAGTAAGACGCAAACAAATACGCGCTTGCACTAGAGCATGATCTGAATCTAAGCATGTACTCCAGAACGGGCGACAGTCTTCTATCGAGCCCCTCCATCGATAGCTGGTAGCGATGTGATCTATTTGGGTCCAACGTTGGGACGAATTAGGGGGTCGCCATGTCAAAAGATGTTTTTCCTTATGCTTAAAGTTAGTATTTGCAAGAAACAGGAGGTTATCTGAGCATAGCTGCAACAGACGGTCGCCATTATCTGTTCTTTGAGCCACGATGCTATAAGATCCACCCAGGTGTCTTTCCCTTTCGCTTATCTTACCTACTTGAGCATTAAAGTCACAAGCCACTATTACTACATCCGAGCACCTAGCTTTTCGGAGAAGGCCGGAAAGCGTTCCGTAAAACTCATCTTTTACATCATCTGAGCTGCAGTCAGTCGGAGAATGGGCAGAGACGACGAAGAAGCAACGACGAGTGTTGCTATCTTTCCGAGTCCTTACTGTTTCGTTTAGTC